CCTCTGTATCATTCATCAATGCAATATTTTTTTAAGCCGTACTGAAAAATTAGGAGAATATTGCATAAAGAATGTTTACACCAGACCCTTATACATTCGCTTGTAGTTGAAATTGTTAAGAAAAGTTTTAGGCCTGTATTTTTTGTTTTTTTTTTTGTCAGCATGTTGTTGAAATTGTTAAAAAGTATTTGTTAATATTTCAAAAATAACATGGGTTGAAATTTCTTAATTTATTTTATTTTCAAAATTAATATATAAAAATGACATAAATTTTAAAATTATGTACTTGTGTAGTCAGAAAATTAAATAAACAATTATGTGGGTTTTTGAGCCAATCTTAAACCCTATTAATAAGAGGTTATGCCTGAAAGATATAGTAAGCATAATAAATTTAAGATACATGAGTACTAATAGGCATTGGTCCTAACAAAAAGACTATAGTCTTTTAAGCATGAGATCTTAAGTTCAATACCATGTAATGCAAAAACCCCTTAATGTATTAGCCCCTTGTTATCAGCTCTATACTTGTGCATGTGTTTTAAATCATATTTTTTAAAAAGAAAAAGAAAAATCAATCATATCAGTGAAAAAACCCAAGTATTGTTAACATCAATAAAGTAACGTTAACACTCATACACTCTATTTTTTCTAGCTAAGTCTCTGCGCTCTATCTTGATATAGGGTGATGATTAATGTCTTAAAGTCACATGGACATTAAACTGATGCAAAAAATAATGTCCTTGTATATTATTGAATGATATTACCATCTATTAAACTATTATCAAATTTATTGCCTTGTAAATTGAATCACTGACATTCATATTCATTGTCACCAAGAGGTGAGCCTTGAGATGCTTTTTTAACATGAAAACACATAAACATGCATAAACATGCATCCATGCTTTGTATCAGGGTGGTCCAAATCTTAGTTGAAAGATTTAAGAAATAAGATAAACAAGCAATAAGGCCAAAAGAACATTTTTGCTAAAGTTAGAAGAAAGAACTTTTTTTGTGCGATGATGGATGACACTAGCAATATTGTGGTATTAATCCCTCTGTTCCTTTACTTCACCTCCCAATCTCTTTTCTCTCAATGGTGGTAGGTAAAGGCGAGAGAGGACTTTAAGGGATCTTGATCACTAACATCGTATCATTGCCTTCTCTTCTCAATTTTTTTCATGTCATCACAATCTTAACCATCACCTTCTTCCTTCTACCTTCAAGATCTCATAAATCACGCGAAGGAGAGACTCACGTTTGTGAGCCCAATGCTGCTCTTCATGAAGCCATCTCCACTCCGTGAAGCCAACGCTACTCTTTCACAAAGCCATTAATCCTCCTTGAAATATAAAAAAAAATGTAATTTAAGGTTTGTTATTTTCCCTAAAAAATCAAATTAATCACACAATTATATATAATAAAAGTAACATATTTTTACCACTATGCATATAAACCAGTTTCTACATTAAATAATCCAAACAAAGTTTAGTATATCCAACTAATTTTTTTAAAAAGGTATCCAAATATAAATTATGCTAAAGACATAAACTTTCATTATAACTTCGGTTTGCAAATCTCAATTCATTCTAATATTAGTTGGGAATTTTTTAATCCACACACACCCTTGTACATTTAACACCATGTTGCATCTGTTGAGAAGAAGAGCTTATTAAGAAGACCAAAATGAACCTCGAGGGCAACAAGCATCACTATGAATTCATTATATGATACTTGAGTAGATTAGATCTAATGCCCTAGGATAGGTGCATTATGGTTGTGTGGGGTGTAGCAATGTTTCTCATCATATGACAACACATCATTTTACATGGTTTATTTTAAATTCATATCAACCAAAACCTTGAATAAAAATGCTTTATCAAAAGAACAAAAACATGTAATTAGGTCTTAAACATGTAAATTTTAAAATTTAAAACTGGTACTATAATTTGATTGAAAAATGCATGACCTCTTATGTACCTTAAACCAATGGAAATGAATTAAGACAAAAAGAAAAAGGGAGATTTTTTTGTGTGTGCATGGAGTGAGAAAAGTATAAATGAAAGGATGATGAAAGGCGTAGAAGAGGAAAAGAAAAGTGAAGAAGGGCCATGCAAGGAAAGGAGAAAGTAGACTAGTGGAGGAGGAGGGAAACCCTAAACTTGGATCAGCGAGGGAGGGAGGAAGGAATCGGTGGATGGTAATGTGAATGCCATCCATGCCTCATGTAATGCAACGTAATGCCATGATATGTATTAAGATTTAGGTCACGTGCTTTGACAAAAAAGACACCATTGTGTTTTCTACTCTTGAAAATGCACAACGACTGTTTACACCCGTATCTCATCCATCCTCACCTTGCCTTGCTTCAACAGCATACTTCTCATCACATTTGTTATTTGAATTTTAACAATTTTAATTTAACTCAACCACATATGATTAATTTAACAAATATTGATAATGAAATATGAACAATTATATCCACGTTTAAATAGTTATACTTTATAAAAATTAACATTACATGTTCAAACCAACAACTAGGTAATATGAAATAAGAGTAGAAATTTAAGATTTAGATTCTCTCAGTGTAAAAGAGATAACATGATTGATTGTTTTTCGATTTCTTATTTTTAAATTCTATTTTACAATATAGTTTTTAAAATTATTTTTAAAAAAAAATTCTAAAAAAATATTCAATTATATTAATTTGAAAATAATTTGCAAATAAAGAATATATTGTAGTTATGATGATCAATGATGACAACCAATAACAATAATTGATCATAGCTAATAGCACTTTCTAGTAATAAAAATGTGCTTTTGTGAGAAAAAAAAAACAGATCAAAGATATTTTTATTTTTAAAACAAAAAATAAAAATAAAAAAATATTTAAATTCCAAACACCTACCAATTTTTTATTCTATAAAAAATAGAAACATAGTATTTAAAAAATAATTAAATATAAAGTGGGTTTTAATGAGTAAGGTACTTTGCCTCATTTTATTAATGGGGCCATTTTGCATGCATTTAGAAAAGTGAAAAATTAAAAAACTTTTGGCTAAGGTATAATTCTAATCTTATATAAGATTGGAAGTGTAAAATGAAACATTATATAAGATTAGTCCTCTAATCTTGTATAAGGTTTTAATTTGACTCTTTAATTTTATAAAATATTTTTTTAGTCCTCTTACCCTAATATTTTAGTTTAAATGATTATTTTTTTATATCAATCATTGTTATTTTAAAAAATTAAATTTAACATGTCAACATTTGAGAATATTTTGTTAATATTTAAAAATTTAATATAAAAATTTGTTAAAATAAAACTAACAGTGTGTTAGAGTGAAAGGACTAAAAATACGCTTTATAAAATTAAGGAACAAAATAAAATGCCAGTAAATTAAATAATTAAATTTATACTTTAATCAAAACTTTTAAAATATTAACTAATGTCAATGGCTGTACAACCAGTGGCATGCAAAATTTTGTAGGTAGGAGGTTGTAGATTCGATCTTGCTTCCTCAGCTTATAGTGCCTACCTCTTTAACTTTAAAAAATAAAAAAACTAATAATTTCTATGGGGCGGTGTGTATTAAGATAAAAATACTTTATATTTAAAGGGTAGGAGAGTACAACATAGCAAGCAACAAAAGAAAAATTAAAGAGACCTCACGTGGCCTGGCTCTTAACTTATAATGCAAATTAGATATTTATGTCTAACTCTAAATAATGGATATGAATTTTCATAATTAATATAAATATGGATTTTTTTTTGAAAAAATGATAATAAAATCCCTTTAATATATATATATATATATGACAATTTAATTTTTTAAAATGTCATAATTTTTTAAAGTTTTTTTGTCATTAATGAAATTATACCAAATTACCCTTTGTTGAAAATAAATTTATAATTTTTCTTCTCATATTCACAACTTTTTTTTTTAATTTGTAACAATATAATAACAAATTACAATTTATATGTTAAATTCCTTAATTGCTGTTGCATTATTGTGAATATAAAAAGAAAATTAATAATTATAAAAAGAAAAGATATGAATCATTTATTTTCAATAAGGGCAATTTGATAATTTATATAAATTTAATAATGACAGAAAAATTTATAGAGACTTCAGAGGAATTATGACACTTTGAGAAATTAAATTATTATTTATATATTTTAGATAAATTTTATTATCATTTTTCCTTCTTTTTTGGCCAAATATAAACACAAATTCGTGGTGAGACATTAACAAGATAAGATATCCCATTGGCATGGAGAGTGAAGATTTGTTTTTTAAAAGAATTAAAAGTTAAAAGTTTAAATTTAGATGTGGCGAAGGCCGAAAAAGGTTGGAGAAGCGTGGTCCACGGGGAAGGCTCGGCCCAAAAGTTCAAAGCTGTGTTATTGTACTTTAAATTTGTGGCTTGGTGGTTGGTTTTAGGCTTTAGCTTCAGCCCAAATTGTCGTGGAATCGAATTCGGCTCTTTCAGTTCTACCCATTTCACCCAATCATTGCTTCACTTATGACCTCAACAATTCAAGTAATATGGTATTTTGAAATTAACAAAAATATTATTTCTTTCATCTACTACTATTATGTACTTTTAACTAATTTATATTCTTAATAAATTAGTCAATTTGTCAACGAATGCACGCACTCATGCTTGCTTCCTTATTTTTTTTCCTTTTTATTTATAATTTTATCAACCAATTTTTGGTTTTTGCCTCTGATTTTGTGGTTTCGATTCTATTTATGTCTAATAGTTTCCGCCAGCAAAACTTATAATCCGGACGGTATTTTTATGCATGATAGAAAATTCAGCCTAACTTCTTTGTTGTAAATCAAAGTCTGCATATTAATTGCAGATCAAGCTAAAAAAATTCATATTCAAATCGATATTTAAAACTAAAATGCTGCTTCTTCTCTTTCTCTATGCCTAAATGGAAGTAGAAACGCATGCAGGCCTGCAGTAAAACTCCACCTCAGACAGGTCAAGGGTTCAATGAAGTTGGTTGTTATTTAAAAACTTGGCAAAAAAAACAAGCAAACAAGCAAACAACAAACAAAAGATTTTAAGTAAACTAAACCTAGTTCCAGCTCACTTTCTAATGGAGAACAACGAAGAACAACGGCGAGGGGAAATTACCAACTTGAACAAAATAATATATCAAAAATTACATTGGCAGGTCCCTCTTCATTAAACCAAATCCATTTATCATAAATTAATCAACGAAGAGCGAGTTAGATTGCTTCTTTTGTGGGGACGTTTTGGTTTGCTTCACCCATCTCCAGAGCTTCCTCCTCTGTTTTGGGTGTTCCTCTGTTTTCGCGGTACACAGAATACAATGTTAGCTGCATCGCCCCCAGAGCCGAACCCACACCATTCGGTACCTGCAAAATCACTCACTTGTTTCAACACAACACTGTCCACTTCAAAACCGAATCAAACCAGAAATATGCAGCATTGGACTCTACTCACTGCAATAAAGGGGTCACGACCTAGCAGACCAAACACAAAGAACGAAGCAGCACACAGAAACATAAATAGCGACAGAAAGAATGGCATGAACTCCACGCTCCTTGTTCTGATCGCCAGTCTCTGCATATCATATTAATAATCTCAACATGTTCAATTAATAAACAGAATGTTCGATGGAGTGAAGATAGTGAAATCCAACTTGGCCTACCATGATTGAGAAGGGTGAACTGTACATGACAACGGAGAATATAGATGCCAGGAGGCCGCACAAGAGTTTTCTGGGATAGTCGCGCAGTGCAAAGAGAGAGACCACGACGACGACGAGAAATACTATGAGCACGGCGGAGAAGAGTCCGATGATTTTAACCTTTTCTTTCTTGGGTGCCAGCGTGATGAAGATCAGAACGTATACGATTTCGGTTCCTGCTCCAGCGCCATTGATGGTAGAAACTAATAAATTGTTGGGGGACACAAACGGCAAGCCATACCTGAAGATTTGAACACCGAACAAAGCACGTATAATTGAACATTCTTACTCTTTTAGAATGAAACTCATCCAACCTCTTCTTTTCCCATATAAACCAGTTCGATTAAGACTAAGACAACATGCAACTGTCAGGAAGAAGATAACAATGTTGATTTCCGTGTCATGATTTAGAAATGGAGTGCGAAAAATCAACAGGCGATTTAATCAGTGCTACGTAGTAGTTAGCACTTTTGTGATCTCATGGATGGCAAAAACTAATTTAAATTAAAGTACACAACTTAACAGGCAAAAAGAAATATTGTCCCTTGATGAGAAATTACACCTAGGCGAGGCCGAGTAATAGTGATGGAAGAAATCGCAACAATAAAGTAAATGAAAGTACATGATTAAGAAAGGAAACACCAGGAAATAGTGCAGAAAGAAATTGCGGAATAGTAGAAAATAAAGAAGAAAAATCAGAGATAGTTACCAAGCAGAGAGGAGGCAGTTCAGCAGTGTCATCACATAAGGAATGCCGGAGAACTTCTCAGTAGATCTGTTCTTTATGATTCTGAAGAATGTAATTCTGCGGACAAAGACAGGCCGAATTTCTCACAGTATTGACTCTGAATTGGCAGAATAATGAAAATTGAATGAGAGAAAGAGGCAGTTATGAGATGCATACGCTGGAGATAAGAAGAGGAACATGGCGAAAACATTTCCTGCAACAAACAACCAAAACAAGAAGAAATGACAAACAGCCGAGAAAAAAGTAAGAGGGATTGATAAAGGAGAAAACGCACCAAAAATGCCAAACAAGAAATGTGCAACATTTTCCATGATGAAGAAGATATGCGCAGAGAGAGAGAGAGAGAGAGAGAAGTGCAAAAGGAATACAGGTAGTATGGGAAGGGGACGAGGGAGATTATATATAGGAAAGGTGACCACTGGCACAACCCTATACGTAATAACTATGCCTGAAATTAGAAAGTATAGAGAATTTCCTTGAAAATAAAAATAACTCGCCTGAGGGATAATTGTTTCTAAACCTGCAAAAAATTTGAAGCCGCCTAGAATTCAATGGATTCAACAAAAGTTCATGTCAAATGTTGCGAGAATAATAAATCTTGACATGCGCTTTTAGCAGAGCACATGATTTTTAATTTTTAATTTTTTGGTGACGGTCGAGGTCTTCGGTGTTGTCCTATGCAATTTGTGTAGGAAGATATTTACATTTTGCTTGATGACTTCACATGAAATCTTAACTTTCGTAAAATACATACATTTCGAATCTTGATCACACACACGCGTCTTGACTGCACTGCCCGATATAATCAACTTTGATTATTTTACTGGAGCTTCAGTGTTTACTTTTACTTTAAAAAGATTTCTTGTTGAAAATTATAAGAATATAAAAAAAGTCTTATATTTAAATATTAAAAGATAATATAAATATATAAGTTTAAAAATATCCAACCAAATAGCTTAAACTATTTTAGTAGAATATATTATTCTTAAGCATACTTAATATAAAAAATATAATTAAAAAAATAAATGAAAGATAAAAAAAACAAACAAGAGATTAAAAAATAAAGAGAAAATAAGAAATGAATAGACCTGATATTATAAAAGGTACAAACCCAAACAAAAAGAAGAAGAAAATAAAAAAATGAGAAAAAATAGTAAAGGAAATATTAGAATACAAAGGAAGCTTAACATCTAAATATTAAAAGATATATTATAAAAATATAAACTTGTGAAGTATTCAACTAAGTAATTTAAGCTATTTTGAAAGGTACTCCTTAAGTATACTTAAACAAAAGAAGACTAATAAAGATTAGGAAAAGTGAGAAGGATAAAATGAGAAATCAAACGCATAAGCATCCATTGGTTAGCATCAAAGCGAGCAAGAAGTCTGGATTTAGTTCGGTTTGTAGTCATCGTGCGTACATGAAGATATCAGGGGGACTCAAATAACTATGGCATATCAATTGAATTAGACACAGCTAGCCATAAGGCAATTATTTCCTTCATTTTATCAGGTTTTTACCTTAATTATTATTCATTAATTGGGCAATTGTATGTTATGTTTCCACTTACGTGAAACATGATAATTAATAATTCAAATTTTCATATAAATGATAAAATATATAGAAAATTACGCTATTCATAAACAATAAATAATCTGCCTCCTCCCTTTTTCCACCCATTTTTATTTTTTTAACTCTTTCCATGCACATTTCATTATACTCCATGATCCATACAACTATTTTTACTGATTTTTTTTTTATACTTATTTTAGGGAAAAGACAAAATGCAATCTTTTCAAAAGCTTTAAATTAATTCCCAGCATGGCGTAAGCAGTTTCAATTAGCGGCCTAGTAATATGAAAACCAGGGTGCCATCAACCAGTTTACCACGCAACAACTAAAACTATGCACTAAGATGGATGAACAAGCATTGTATGCATGTTGGAGCCAGAGCACGCATGTCAAATTATTGAGTTAGGCTCATTGGCCCTCCAGGAATTTGAGTTAGGCTCACTCTGGTTGGATCACAATATTTGAGTTAGGCTATGTTGGTCCCTCCAGGAAATTGACAGGCCGCGTTTTTATCAATTTTACCTTGAAACAAAGCATAATTAGCACTGTTAAACACACCTTGATCCTTATGATCTGCACTGTCTTTCTGTTAAGTTCATGCTCGTAATTATTTATTAGCGTTAGGTCTCTATATGTTTTGCAAACTCATGTACTTAAAACGCTATAGGGAACAACATGATTCATAATCAATAGAAAGAAACCATGATAACCCACTTTCGATTCCTATCGTGCGGCCACACTGCAAAGTGGAAACCAAAACTTTATCTAAATGAGTAGTTAAGTCATCATGGGCTCCTGTTCAAAGGGACTGCACCATTTTATCGCCTCGAGTTGGATGGTCCTTCCCTTCATCCGTGCCTAAAATCCCACTGATTAAGTAACAAGCGCAATATAAAAGATGAACATCAAGTTGGGGGGGCTGTACCAACTCACGCAGCGTGTTTCTTCTTGAACCTTAACGCCCTCATTTTTCACTCCTATTGCTCATGCTCATTGCTTAACGAACTAATCTTACCCTCTTCGAGGAAATCTGCACAAGAACACATAACGACTACTTAGGAAATCAAATGGTAGCCAATTTGCTCCGATCCTTCTTCAAAACGTTTCTGTGTTGTTCACTTGTTCTATTTGAACTGCCCTTGAGCAGTTATGACCAACATTTAGCTCCACCTGAGCTATACTTATCGAAATGGCTAAAAATTTGACGAAGATATCAGGAGCTTCCAGCTGAGCAATCATCACAAGCACCCGAAATAACCATCCATTTCGGTCACACGGCATTTAGCCCTTGGAGCCACTGTGAGGGAAAAGCAATTGCCCTTACCATAAATACTACCCCTAAGCAACAGAGGCCTCCACTTTTCATGGCGCCATGCTTGTGGAAAAAGCTCTCCACTTTTAGGGTACATGGAATCCTCTTCTAGTTAACTGTAATATTTGTTAGTTACGTGCCTGCTTGGTGGAAAGCTATCTGTGCCATATAGAGGCTGCCCACGAATTGAGAATTATTTCCTCAAAATTATCCTTAGATGACGTACTATTTCATCCTCAACCATTCATTTTTCATCCTCCCAAAATTTCCCAACTAGCTTTATTTTCCATTAGCAACCTGCATTACGGACTATCAAGCGTGGATGATCTGTCTACCATGCTGACATTTCCGTTTCTCTCCCGGTCACATAAGAACCAGATCAGAACACACACTGACGTGCATGATGCATGAAAGCAAGAAACTTGAGTAAGGGTTGAATATTAATCACTGAGAATCTGTTTAGATAACTCTATTTGTGATCATGCATTGAAGTTGCCATGTTGATGAATGACGATAGAGTCGACTATTTTTCCTTTATATTACGGATCACTATCACAATGAGACTGTAGAGGGCAAAGAATCAAAATGCAGGTGATACAGTATTTTGTGAGGGAAATGAGGTCTGTGATACAGTTTGTAACCATCATATCGGATGACTAAATTACACACGATAGGATTCCAAATTTATTATCTTTAGACTTGCGCAACGCACTAATCAGACAAAGGAGCGGATAAAAAAAAAAAGTCTTTCGCTGTGCTAAAGATACGTAATACTTTTCTTATGTGATCTCTCAATTTACAGAAGATCCCAATCAAACAACACGAAAAGAATTTGATATTCTCTTCAGATCATCGTAATGCCTCTTCCACTGGAGACCTGCAAATAAGGCATCATTAGGTTCAATTTTCTTTTTATTTAAGGCTGTCAAGATTTCAAGTTGCAAAATTAGTTACTAGCAGATGAAGGTTAATTAATACCATTGCCGGTCACATTGAACAAGTACAGGCGGTTGCCAGCTGCAGTAGCTGTAATAAGTACATGAGGAGGCTCTAGTTCAAACTGGTAGTATGTTCTTCCTTCATATTCTGCTACATTGTAACTAAGAACTTTCCCTTCCACATTCTCCCCAATCACTTCCGGACCAAAAGCGTTGATCACTTTTTCTGGAGCGCCTATTTTTTCTATTTTAGCATCGTCACCAAGATCTGTTGTATATGGTATAAACATTAATTAGAATCTAAAATTATTAATCTTTTCATCAATTTCTTTTCTGTTGTCTCCATAAAACTAAAGTGGACTATAAAAATAGGACAAACTCACCATCAGAAAATCTCAGAACAGGAGCAACAATGACAAACAAGCGTCCTTCCCTTGAGCTAGCAAATCTCAAATCTATCTCTGTGCCACCAAGATCTGCTATTGATACTGGTACCTGTTAAGCAGATAATACATAAGTTGACAGAACAAAGCAAGCAGAAGAGAAAGATGACTTGGTTAAGGTTCCAAAGTGATAATAAGTACTTTTTTTTTTAATGAAAGCATAACATGCGAATATTTTATGCAACTTAGCATCACGTTATTGACTCCTCAGTAAAAGCTGTTCCATATGTCAGAATTGCATAGAAAAACCTGATTGCAAATACCCAAGAATCAGACTTCAGCTCTTTCCTGATAAAGAAAGGGTATACCGGTATGGTCAAATCCCGATAAGATCAAAGTAAATTGATGTATCCTAGTTCCACTTCCGCACATATGAGCCCATATAAGGGGAATTTACCATTTTCTTCTTATCTCTCCCTACTTTAGACCATCAAATATTTCAGGCGCTCGATATTGGACTTTTAAAGACTGAGGACCATCTGAGACATGATAGAATCATAGTGCAGATTTCCATCACTAAATGTTAGGGATTATTAACTATCACCTCTTCCCAATCTTCAGGCACTGAGAACATGTAAGGGATGATGGGACTCCATCCAACTCCATGTCCTCCAGACTTCTCATCTGGCCTGCGATATGTCCTCCAACCTGTCTGATCAAATACTTGCTACAGTATGTCACTTTCACGTAAAAGCTGTAATAATACTAGAGAACTGACGCTTGAAACTGTAAAAAACGAAAAAGCACATCTTGGATCAAGAAATTTGGAGCTTAAAAGACATTTTATTCATGGTCAAGGTCAAAGTTTTGGTCATGTTTGGTTACTAGAAAGGAATAGAATGGAATATATTGAAAAAATCAAAACAAAAATGAATTAAACCTCCCTTTCGGATAACATGATAAAACTCATTAATATAAATTACAAATGTGAGAATCATTACATTCTCTAAAAAATTTCATGAATCATGATTCCAACTTTATAAAATAAATTACCTCTCTCCTTTTCAATGTACTCACCTCTCCTTTCATCATCTTATTTCTACCTTTACTTTTTCAAACCTTTTCATTCCATTCTAGTAAACAAATCGCGAGCTTAATCTTTCAAGACACCTCCTTCTGGGTTTCATGCTTTCATTTGAAAATTTGGATTACTTTTTTGTTTTTGTTCATGCTTATGTAATGCCATAGATTCATTTCTCTATTTGACCCAAAAAAAAAGAGGATCCATTCCCCTATTAATCATAAACTACGAAAGAATTGGTAGACTAGCTCGTACCTCTTCAAAAAAATATTATTTCAGACTTGTGTTTTTCGTCAATAGCAAGAGACTCCGTAATCAAGAAAAGGAAAGCAGTACAAACCTCGTTCATCAGGCTCGGATAGACCAGGGATCCTTCCTGCTAGGAGACCTTGTTTCACCGCCGCTAAACTGTCTCTCGGAAAACCCAGTACGGAAACCACAGAAGCCAAGACCATTCTTCGGTTCAACGGTAAAGTTGAACGCTTCTCGCTTTCTCCGTTGACAAAGTCAGCTCCTTTCGAGCCCGAAGCAGCTCTTGTTCTTAGAGCTTCATTTTCTAATGAAGAGCGACACATCGAATGTGAAGAAGGAGGGGTTAGCGTATGCTTCGAATTGCTCCAAGAAAAAACACAGTTTATGAACAGAACTGTTGCCATGTCCGCAGCGGAGAGGAAGAATGGTGTAGAAGCCGAGTTCCCCAAGGCTAGAATTTTTGTGGACATGCTCATCTTGTGCGTGGGAAGCTCGAATCCTTGTTCGCTTTTTCTGCTGACAAGTTCCGTTTGGCTGACACGTGGCGATTTGCATTTAGGGTTTCCCTTTGATCTTTTTGCGCCGCATTTTACTTTAAGCCACGAAAGTTGGCAAAAGAACTGAAAAACAACGACCGCGGGGCCGTGGAAAAAAAGTGAGAATTTCAACTGTTACTATTTATTAATTTGAAGTCTTTGTCAAGTCAAATTCTTTAAAGAATCCTTTAATGATAATGATATAATCTCCTAGATCACTTATGGGGACAAAAATCATGATTTTAAAATTTTTTATTTAAATATTTTGTTATTTTTCTTAATTTCATTTGCTTATTGAAATTTATTTTGAAAAAGTTAATAAAAAATTACATTGAAGACTCACATGAAAAAATCAAATAATCTTATAATAATTAATTTTTTCATGTGAGACCTAAATGTAATTATTCTACAGTTAAGTTTTTCTCAATTCTGAAATTCATTATGACCATCTAAGCATTTTTCCTATCCTTTTTCTCCGTTTATAGTATTATAAACTTGTGGGATGTTTGGTTTAATTCCCTGCTTGAAGATCATAGACAATCCTAATGTACCTTGTTGATTCATGATGTTTGATTGTTATAACAAAGTAACCTACCGAGGCTTCAATTCTTATTAGAAGAGTTATGAGCATTTAATATTTAATTATGTGTCAAACAATATCAGTTAGAAGAGTTATGAGAGGCAAACATATGCAATTAAAAATAATCAAATGTAACATTAATTATGCCAGATTACAATATTATAACAATAAGTCTTATTTCATTAGGTGGGGTCACCTATATAGATTATACGATATCATTATGTTCTATTATTTATCAAGCTTTTAAAGGTCTTGATCAATAACTTCCAAAAAATGTTATTTTTGGCCTACCTCTGTCCCTTTTGACATGACTTAAAATTATGTATTCCATTCACTTCACAGGTTTCTCTCGTGATCTTTTTTATACATGTCAAAATCATCTCAAATAATTTTTTATTACTTTTCCTTCAATAGTTGTGATGCTCACTTTTTCTTATATGCATTCATTTCAGATTTTATCCTTACGTGTATGTACGCACATCCATTTCAACATTCTCATATTTGTAACTCTAACTTTATGTTCTTGCTATCCCATTAAGACCCGGCATTTAACTACATATAAAATTAATGGTCTTATTGCAGTTTGATAAAACTTCTTTTTAAGTTTATTGGATATCTTACGCTTGTAAATAATTCTTTTAGCTTTTTTCCATTTTACCTAGCTTCTATCTTGTGTGTAATATTTCCATCAATTTTTCCATTATGTAGCTCCCAAATATCTAAATTTTTTTACTTAAGATATAATCTGATCTCTCAATTTCACTTCCAATTTAATATTCACCAATCTCTTATCAAAACTATAATGTAAATATTTCATCTTACTCTTACTCAGCCGAAAACTTTTTGACTCCAATATCCTTATCCATAATTCAAGTTTACAATTAATCTTATTTCTCGTTTCTGTGATAAAAACTACATCATTTGTGAAAAGCATGTATTTGAAGATTTCCTCTTGAATATGCTCAATCAAAACATCTAAAACCATATCAAACAAATAAAGACTCAAAGATTATTTCTGATGCAGTTCACTTTTTATAGGAAAGTCTTTTGTTTCGTCGCCAGACGTTCTTATACTAGTTATTACCCCTTCATACATGTCCTGTATAGCTCGAATATAAGTAACCCGGAAGTCTTTCTTTTCCAATGCTTTCTAAAGTACTTATTGGTATACGATCATAAGTTTTTTCCAAATCAATGAAAACTATATGTAAATCTTTACATTTTGCATCAATACTTTTTCATTAATTCTCTTAGTAGATAAATCACTTCTATAGTCACTATATCTAACATGAAGCCAAAAGGATTTTCAAAAATACTAGTTTTCAATCTTAACTTATGTTCAATCACCCTTCTCACAATTTCATTAAATGACTCATAAATTTAACCCCTCTCTAATTATTGCAATTTTGAATATCCCACTTATTTTTGTAAATAAGAACTAAGGTGCTCCTTCTCTACTCATCGAGTAATTTCTTGGACTGTAAGACCTTATTAAATAACTTGGTTAACCATCGTATTACCTTTTCACCTACATATACCTACACTTCAATAGGGATGCAATAGTTTCATTGACTTTATCATTTGTCATTTTCTCAAAAGTTTCATTTATCTCACAATCGCGTATCCTTTTATAAAATAATAAATTTTGTTCTCCTTCAAGAGTTACTAAATCCTCTAAGTTATTATATGAACCCCCTCATCATTGAAAAATTTAGAAAAGCAGGTCTCTCATATGTCTTTAATATCACCATCCATGATCAAAATATTTTCCTCTTAATCCTTTATACATTTTACTTGTTCAAAATCTCTTAATTTTCTTTTCTTGCTTTTGGCAATCTTATAAATTTTTCATTATCCATTCTTTATTCCAAGACTATTATAAAACTTTTCAAATGTTTTAGAACAAGCTTCACTTACCGTCTTTTTAGTTTTTCTTTTTGCTATATGACATCCTTCCCAATTTTTATCATTATTGCATAGATGGGTGGCTTTAAAAAATTCCTCCTTATTTTTTATTTTTTTATACACAATTATTTCACCACCAATACTCCTTGTCTCTTGTATCAAAACTTTTTTATTCTTCTAAAACTTCTTCTACAATCTTTCTTACCTTCTTAGCCACATCCTCCCATAAGGTGCTAACATTTCTTGAGATTTCCAAATTCCTTTGGCTAAAAGATTCTGCTTGAAAATCTTTTGCTTCTCACGTTTCAATTGCCACCACTTAATCCTTAGAGTTACCACTTGTCAATATTTTTTGTTTTTACTCATAATACACACATCAAGGACAAAGACAATGTGTTGTGTCATTACAGCATCCCAAGAAATCATTTTACAATGCTTACAAAGCCATCTATTTGTGTGCCTTACCAAAAAGAGATCAATTTGTGACTTTAAGACTCTATTTTTAGAAGTGATGAAATGCTCACTCCTTTTTTTGAAATAAGTGTTGGCAATTTTGAAATTATAAGCCAAAGAGAAATCAAGAATAGATTATTTTTCACTGTTGAAATCAAGAGAAATCTTGTAATGTGTATTGAATCAACCCCTCCAAATCGTCTCGAAATAGTTCCTTAAGATTGGCTTTTACCATCGCTTAAGGTGCATAAGTACTAATAATATTAACAGTCTCACATTCAATAATTATTTTTAAGAAAATAATTCTGTCTCCATTTATATTAACTTCTACTATGTTCTTCTTTTACTCTTTATCGATAATGATATCCATCCCATTGCACGTGCTTACTTTTTTAGTATACCAAAGTTTGAAACTTTAAATATCCTTAGCTTATTCACAGGGCCATTTTGTAAAATCTGACTTACTTAATCACAATTAACTACCAAAACTAAGGTAATTAAGAATTTAACCCCAATAAAGATTACTAAATTTGTAAAATTATATAGAGAGAGATCCCAAGTTCTTATAATTTAAAGGATAAACATAACTTTTAATCCTTATACTTTACTCGTGTTTTGTTTTTTGTCCCTATACTTTTTTTTATATTTTAGATTCCTACACTTTTATTTTTATTATTTTGGGTCCTTCTAAGGTCCCTATAAGCTGATCGAAAATAATGAAAAATAAAAGTATAGGGACCTAAAACACCGAAAAAAGTATAGGGATCAAAAGCAAAGTGCAAACAAAATACAGGAACTAAAAGTTATGTTTACCATAATTTAAAATACTCACATACACCTGCAACATTTATAAATTAAAGTTTAAAATATGTGCGAAGCATAGAAATTAAAGAAAGAATCAAAACACTTGCATATAAACACCCAATCATTGAACTGTGCACAAAACAACACAAGTGCCTTGGTTTACTGCAAGTGTGCCTCGGCATATTGCCTATGTGCCATGTGCTGCGGCTTATTACACAAGTCCGATGGCACTCAGGATGAATTTTTGACTTGTCCCATTTCTCCGTTTGACATCTAATCAAGGTGATTTAGGTGTCTAAAGAGAGTTTTTTTCTTACTCTAGATAATGACACATGTTTTACAATCAAATTATTTTTTTATCAAAAATTAAACACCCTTTACAAAATTCACTCCTTTTTCACAATAGTTCACAACTATAGTGCTCAAACCACAACAAATGTGCTAAAAGCCTACATCAATTTTTAGACTATATTCAATAGATCATTTAAAACTCATGCAATACACTACAACCAATCTAAAACATTTATATTATAAATTCACCTCTTAACCCCTTAACTTAAAAAAAAAAAAAAAGAGGCGAAGTCAACTTTAGCACAATTCATCAAATATTCATCCAATCCTCATTTCTATTCATTTTTTGTTAGTTCCTTGGACTTATTTTTTTCATGCATGAACATTTCTTTTATCTCCATTCTTGCAACTATTTATTTATATTTTGGTTTCATATAATATCATTTTAATTTGGTTATAATTTGTCTATAAAAAAATGCTCAATGTCCAACCTCAAAAACGAAAACATACTAATTTCATCTCTTTTATAATTGATTCTTTTTCATCCAAATATTTATTTACATACCTTTTCAAACAAATTTATTTCTTGTTTCCTTTAAACACTGTGTGATCACCATCTTCAAAAATCAACAATGATTTTAGAATTATAATAAAAAAAAGATAATTAAATTAAACTTCTCTATACTATTTAAATATATTAATTTAATTACATCTAATCTAACCTCAATTCAACCATTTAACCGTAAACTAATGCCTTAACTGATTTAATAGCCAATCCTATTCTCATACCATTGGTACTAAGAGCAGCCTTATTTTCTTAAAAAAGAAAACAATGGGCAGGTTACCCATTACAAACAACTCATTCAACTATTATAACTTATAAAAACAACAAAAATGTTTTGAATGCTTCGGAATTAAAAGGGGCAAGTTGGGTTCCACTATTGCTAGCTGCTAAAGAATTAAACAGCGCCTAGTATATTAATTCTAAAGAACAAGTGAACTAGTGAATTGCTATTTGGAGATGAGATAATAGCCATGCGAGAGGAAATAGAAAACACAAGAATAAGGTATCCCCCGGCTAATCAAGGCAACGGGACAGGGAGATCCCATCTGGAAAATTCAACCAAGTTCCTATTTACAATAGATCCGTTGTGCAACCAGAACGTTTCAGCTGACTGATGAAATTGCCTCACTTTTCTCTGCAGTTCCCACATTATACCGCGCATTGCTGAGCAGGGTGCCGAATCTGAAGCATATACCCATAAGCACCTTACTTGTCTTCCTCGAGCTATGATTGCTTCTATATCTTCATCTGAAAAACAGGCCACACTTCACAAAGTTGAAAGATGATGAAAGGACATGGTACGTAAATCAAGAGGCAAATGGCAGCAAGTATTTTTGACCTGGTATCGTTTCCAAGTACTGCAACAGCTCCGCACCTATTCGACTGGATGGCCATTTTATAGATATCTGACTGTAATCAATGACATTTTGGAAAGGCAGTTCTACTTGATCGGATAGTATAACTGGAACACATTCCTGTCAAGTAAAATATCACTGTTTTCATTTCTTTCAAGCAAAGCCCACATTCTGGCCCCAGCAGAAGCACAAGGGAAAAAAGGACCCAAAAAGAGAGGGCAAGACAAACAGACCACAAAATAAGACTCATAAAAGCGAAGGGTCCAAGATGACTCCCCCCGTGGAGCAAGGCAGAACTTTGCATTGCGCAAGTGTTCAAAATATTCTTTCCTTCCCAATTTGTCAGGTCCATTGAATTTCAAATCTGGACATTCCAACTGTTCAATCCATCAATACATCATACATGCTGCATAATAATATCACAATGAAGACTTACCCTAGCCTGAAATATGACGTTAAAATATATATATATATATATATAGCAGCACAAACAGACATGAGATACAAAAGTTCACCAGGTGTTTTGAGTGCATATAAGTGGAACAAATAGATGACTTTCCCACAAAAAGGAATTTTTAGAGATTGCTCAAAAGACAAAATGCAGAAATTCAAGTAAACGGCAGTAGGCATTTATCCCACCACATTGTGTTAGCATACCATTTACTAAATGTAAGCAAACTCAGCAAATCAATAAAACTCCATGTTGAACGAGATAAAATCCTCAAAACTAGCCCATTGCTCAGATGAGTTTGGCAAGAATTACTGACATAGAAGATAATGTACCTTGTCTGGATATTGTTTCGCAAGCTGTATCAGCTGCAGGCGACTGGCTTTTCCTTGTGCACGTCCCAAATAGTTTGCCAAGTACTTCCGCTTTGACAAAGGCAGTGGCTGGACCACTGGAGCACCAGTTTTAGTCACACCATCATCAATATTACCAGGGATAATGATGTCTTTCCACGTATTAAAGGCACTTGCATCTCTCTTATCAGTCCGGTCACCCTATGTCGCAATTTTCAATGACAACCATATAGTAAATATAAAACTTCCATATGGACCTCATGCATCTGTCTATATTATATAATTGATTTTTGCATCCAGACCACAAACTTCCAAAGGTAATCATATTTTTTTGGGCACATTTAGATTAACATTTAGTTCACAAGATTGAAGTGGATGCATTTGCGACACGTTAGTTTATAGTCTAAACACAGCTCCATAGAATGATCATGGTTAATAGTCAGAGGTTTAGGCCTCTACTGATGGATTTGTGATGTATTGCAAATACGATAATTGTTATTTTAGTATGTAAAGAAGTAAAGGGGCAGTGTCAGGAATCAATTTGTAGGTTCCCTCCAGTCACCTAGAAAACCCTAATTAATATGTTTGATCCCTGATAATTAATTATGGTCTTCCAGCATACCAGCAAAAGTACATGTAATTTTCCCTTTACTAATCACCCCAAAACTAACCATTTACCACCAGTAACAAAGAATAGCATCATAGCGTACAGCCAATTTTTCTGTCTGTTTCCTTTTTTAAGCCAAATTTTCAGTTTGTTCCAAGACATGAATGTTTAATGGTTCATATAAGTTTAAACCTTTTTTCTGATAGTTTCACTAAAAGCACAAAAAAAAAATGTTAAATAAATAATTTCATGCCTTGTCAGTGGCCCTTTTGATGTATTCCTACATCACATTTCCCAACATATTCTGTTCAAGTATCGTGTTTGTTGGTATATCCATAATATTGCACATGTATTAGACTCGTTAGTTGTTACTTTGTTCCTCATTCCTTAGCTTGCTCTCTACGAGAAATGATTTTTTCCAGTTTGTCGAAGTCAAAGACAAAAAAACTTGCCCAAAAAATATACAGTTTGAACCTTATAGACAAATTTTAGTAATTAAAGCATGTCAAGTAAAATTTATAAGCTTCATGACAAGCATTAACTGCACCTCAGGAGTAAGAATAATAGAACGATTTATATATGTTGCCCAGGATTTGAACAAATGAGCTCCTGCCCCACTGCAAATCAGAAAATTCAAAATTCTGCATTAGCTACAAGGCAAGCAATGTGGAACCAAAGAGTACTTGAAAAGAGAAATCGTTTGAGTCACAGAAACAAATTATTTGAGTTTATTGTTATGGTGTATGTTTAAATCCTTAAGATCCATATTCAAAACAATATAGCTGTGTCACCAAAGATTGCAGAACATTTTCATCAACTACTCAGTGGACCATATGAAGTTAAGATACTTTGTTTACTATGAATTCTTCAAGCCTAAATTATCACCAAAATTTTCCTCTGCCAAAAAACCACTGAAAAAAAACTTATTTCAAAGTTTATCTTTTCTAGTTTATCAAAGTAGCATGCAAATAGTAGCTACCCTGTGCCTTTGCGGTTCATTGCTATGCTTTATACTGCAGAGGCATGGGTTTGAAAATTGGTACAATAAAAAAGGCCCATGCACGTAAAACTGTAGAAAAAAACCGTTTAGTACATGTCAATATCACAGTGAAGAGCATGCCAGTGAAGCCATTAACATACTGATGAGTATGGGTCAAACAAATGCAAAAGAGACTGCGGGAGAAGGGTCAATTCAATAATTCCACACTTGTTGCATTTGTAGCGTCGAATTCTCTTAAACAACACTTTTTCCAACATAACTAAACATTTCTTAATGGATTCGTCTTACATAATTTATATACAGAACATCACTTAAAAACCATGATTGGTATATAATTATCTTCTGATTACCTGGGGAAAACAAATATGTGGTTACGACCTCCAGATAACCGAAAATATGGCATTTGGCTTAAAACCTGAGCTCAAAAAAAGAGTTCACCTTAGCCTTTTCCACCATTAGCCACTATGCATATAAACAAAGGCGCATACTACTTCAAACAAGGAAATGAAGAACTACTTTGACATAGGTCTGGTTAATTTCTTTATCATTCAGACCACCCATTGTTCGAACACATTTAACATATGATGGGACAAAGAATAGATCTGCTTCCTCCTTCTTCTCTGTTCGATGTTTTGATTGTTGGAAAAGCTTGTGTATTTTGACCTACAGTCGTAGCCATTAGAGAACTAGAAATCCAAGTAATATGCTAGTTTAACAGAACAAAGTGGAAATTAGCAAGGAAAAAAAAAATTGAGGCAAAGAAGATATCACAATTAAGTTCTCCAAAGCATGAAACATGTAATGGCACTAAAAATTTCCTCTACGTTGGCGATGAATTGTGGCATCAATCTATTACCTCCAAGTTTGGCCTGAGCTTAGAGATTACAATAAAGCTATTATAAAGCATGAAACAAGCAATGATACAGGTTAACACTGTATGATCTCAAAGTTGGGCAAAAGATTGGAAGATAAACTTTCTTTCATAATAAAAGGTGGCAGGTGCGGGTCCTCCATCAGATGCTCTAATTGAAGCTTAATTGAAGATTAGTAAAGGAAGTATATCAATCTTTCAATTTTATTCATAACCACAACTGCGTAGGCTGAAGCTGGTTTGAGAAGGAGAACGATTCTTCCAACTCAGAATCTCACAAAACTTTGTATTTGTTGGTGCGTGCGTGTGTGCACATCACTGCGAGGATCCATGGGTTATGTGCAGTTGAATCAATCTATTTGGTAGAAGATCGTGATACAGGTGTGCTCGACTTTCTTTGACACGCATGTAGCGTTATGTCTCGGATATCCATATATTTGCATGATCAATGATTCACAACTCACATACTTTAGGGCATTCTGTTTTCCAGATTATATACTTTAGGGCATTCTGTTTTGCAGATTATACGGAGCTCAAGTAACAAGCAATGTCAAAGCAAATGAAGTATTGAGCACACCTTCGATTCTAAACGCAGAGCCCCACTTAAATAAACATTATGTGCAACACGTAGATTTAGCAGAATCTAATTTATTAAACTACGGTTGCCCGATTACAGAAGCAAGGAATAACCTGAGTTCCCCACTGGCCTTTCAAACAAGCATTCTCGGTGATTTTGCCTTCCCTTCCATACATCAAGACCTTCAAACCGTCGATCTCCTCCACATCGTAGACGTAGATCTTAAGAGAAAGCTGAGACCCATACCCTCTCTCCGGCCAAGAGTAGGGTCCACCGTGCACTAGGTCGAGCGATGGCCGCACTTGATCAACAGATAAGCTGCATGGAATGAAGGAATGATCGAAGAGCCTGGTGAAGAAGAAGGTGGCAACGACGAGAAATAAAGCTCCAATCTGGTGCGTTCGGGTGCAGATAAACTGATTGTGATGAGGGGCTTGTGGCCTGAATTTGTAACTCCCACTCGCCATTACTGATATCTGAAGCAATTGATGATGCTACTGTGAATTTTTAGCGCGCAGCAGATGCAGGGAAGCTGAAGCTCATCCCCGACGCAGGACCAATAGGTGGAAAACGTACCGTTTGGCTTCCGGTGTTCGCCGCAGGGCGGGGCAATCGAGAAATTTGACTCACTTCACAGTTCACTAATGTCGGCGAAGTGGTCATTCCATACGGGCTTGCCAGCGGCGAAGGTAGAAGCAGGACACCCATTTTACCCCCCTTCGTGTGGGCAATTCCACTTGGCTTACTGAGATTAATAATACTACTAATAATAATACATTCTTGCCCACAATCCAATTTTCACATAACATGCCATTATCAAGAAACGAATTCATAATCGCAGATTTAAACAAATTGGTATGAAATAATTCAATGATATCGGTATTAAAAATGTCTGCTTCATTTTCACCGTCAATGATAATAGTTAAATTCTGTTGGAACAAATTATCAATTTTGAAAGTGATATATTGACATTTTTTCTATAATAAAATCTCTCCGAGTAATTATTAATTTGATCCATCAAAATATTATAATATCAATGAAATCTTTAAAGGCCTCTTTATCAATGACATTTTTAGAAAAAAAAATTATTTTATCTTTATAGATAAATTATAATTTTTTGCTCAAGTTTTATGATTTGTTAAAAAAATTGTGAATAGAGTTTGTTATTTTGAGAACTTATTTCTCAATAATAGAAATTATATTTGAAAAATTGTAATTTTTTTAACTTTTGAGATTCATAAAACAAAAGTTATTATGTTTTAAATAAAAGTTGTGATTGAGGCTTGTTTTTCAATAACAGAGATTACATTTGAGAAATTGTAATTCCTTATTCAACTGTAGTGATTTACAAAATAAAAGTTGTGATTTTTTAAATAAATTGTGATTATATCTTATTATTTTTAGTAAGAGTAAAATTGTCTTCTTTCTAAAAAGGTTATTGACAAAGAGGTTGATTTTCAACGCGATGCATGTGCGTTGACATGCCTGGGCAGACCCTCTCTGTGCCATACGCTATTGCACGCGGCTATTTTTTGCAGCTTATCAATCATAAACTAAGGTAGAAATCGAAAGGATAAAAGAGAGAAAATGAGGAAGACATTCTATACTCTGCTAGGGTTTACTCTTGAATGATATTGAGAGTATTTTAGAAACTACAAATACCAAAAGTAACTATCATACTCATTAATCTCCTATCTTCTTCTATATTTATGAGGTTATAATTAAGGTTTGATGGTGAGAGATGATTTTTTATCCATATAGATTATAGGTCTGAACTCATTAATTCAAATGAAGTCAATAAGAATTGTTTAGAGTATTTAAACCTAGTATTAATGATTTTAGTGGTTGTTGGATGATGAGTCTCATAAATGTCCGAAAATAGATATTAAATTTGTAATTATGATGGTTGTTGAGGCATTAATAGCAATGTGGGTATTTAATAACGCTATATAATGTTAAAGATAGTTAATAAACCCAATGGATATGCCCAAACTTAGACAAAGTAGACATTAGGTAATCTATAAGTGAAAGTGTGAGTTAAATGTGTGTGTTTGGCAATATTGATAAGACAGAATTGATAATTGTAGATTGAGATCTTAAAGGCCAATTTGGTCTGGGATTTTAAACTTGAGAGCTATAATATTAAGGGGTAAATATTTGACCTCTTAAAGGTTTAAGGTAATCGAAAAAACCCTATTTTAAATAGTTATATGTTAATTACTTTGTGATGTGAATTATGTGTTTATTATATGAATTACAACTTATGAATGTGGGTAACATGCAATGAAACTTGGTGTCTACATAATTTGCTTGATGTGTATTAAACATGCGAAATGAGTTTTGAAGTGGCAAATGTAATATTCAAAAAGATTTTTTTTTCTTTACAATGTGTTTTGAATGAGTGGTTGATGATGAATGTGATAAAGATGAGTGTAAGAGGTTAAGAATGATGTGTTTATGTGATGTAAGGGGAAATTAGAATTGATACTCACTTGGGAAACACACGGTCATGAGCCCAACGTGATTATCGTGGTCATGAGTAAATGATAATGTAAATAAAGTGAGTGGCATGATCAATGGGCGGGAGTTCACTTAGAGATTGGGAGTAGAGAAAATTCATATAGTGTTTAGGTTGCCCTCCAGTACACGGGGTATAGCCTTGTCCCACAATTTGTCAAAGAACTATAACCTAGCCATCTTTACCAGTTTATCAAGGAGATTAGCTTAAGATATATAAAACCCCGTAGATTTGAGAGTGGGGAAAACCGTGGTCTGAGAGTAGGTCAAGTGATATTTGGCCAGGTCACATCTCACAATTAATGAGTTTAGGTAGTCTAGTCACACAAACGGAACCATATTCGATGTTGTAGCCTACAGTTTTAGTTAGAGAAAATAAGGAGGTATAAAGTTGGATGATCATTGTCTATGAGTTTATATGATTGTCGCACATTTTGAGTTGTGGCAAGTCGTGTGATATATCGGGTCACGGTCACATGTATGAGTATCTTATGATTATATACCTAGCAAGTGTGAGGTGAAAACATGTCAACTAGAATAATAAGTTATGATATGTGTTCAAGCATGTTTTAAGAATTTGATTTCATATGCATGTGTTTGATTTCAATTTATATATGACTGCATAGGGTAAGTTTTATCTTGATTACTGAGTGGCTAAACTCACCCCTCTTTCTTAATATTTTACGAGCTTTAGCTCTGATGTGGAGAGGGAGAAAGCTCAAGAGGTTTAGAAATTTGCACAATCCTACTGTACGCCTTTAATCTATGTTTATTTTATGTAATAGAATATTGTTACCAATTATAGGATGCATTTCATTCACACTTGCACTAATTGATTGTTTTAAGTATCTGGATTGTAGTTTGGGCTTTAAGGGGTTGTGCATGTTAAATTATATGTATTGATAAGGTCAAAATACTAGTGCAAATGTAGAAATATTATTTTATTCATGAAACAAATTATTTTTTTTGAGGTAATACAAATAGACTACCTCCCTTTTTGTTTTTGTTATTATAAGGGTTGAGGAGTAATTTTATATTATACTGGTAATTGTGAGCATGTGTTATGTTGTATTAGTAGTCCTAAGTCCAAGAAAATGGTCTGGGTGTTAGGAATAGCTATTAGTACTTGTTTTGAGTTTTAGACACCTCTTTATGTATGAAAGTTGTAAGAAAGAGTAAAAATGTGTTTGGATATCCAACTTTTTAGTGTGACCTGTTTTGGAAGTAAAACTAGTGCCATTAGCTAGTTTATGAAAAGAGTTTTCATAGACATCTAAATTATGTCATTCGAACGTTGAACGGAGATTTAAGGCATGCCGAAAGTTGCTCGATTCTATTATCAAATGACGACAGATTTGCTGTAAAAATTGTGCAACATGCCACGGTGCATTGAAGCCCAAGCCTCAACACATTGCACAGAGAGCAACATGTCGTGGTACGATGTAGATGAGCTGCTGTGCATTGCCCTGTTTTACAACAAACAAGTTGTTTTTTAATTGTTTTCAATTTCTTTTACTTGCCTGAGGTATCACATGCTTTTGTAATTTATTTTTACTCTAATATACGAGTTTTTGAATGGTTTAAAATTATTTTGATTATGAAAACTTAGGATCCCTTGATTTATAACTAAAACTTTGTAATTATCTAAATAGATTAATCATTTGACTACCATGAGTTTGATTAGTTAATCATGTTTAGTAGTAAAGGTTATCTCATATTTAATGCCCCTAACCACTAATACTCACAAAGCTATAAATGTTAGATTCATTAGCTTAATCAATCCCATTAATTCTATTTAAGTCAATGGGTTCGAACCCATAGCCTTTATAGATTAAAAATCATTATTCTTAACTAAACCCTGACTCCTCGACTGGAAAAAATGGAAAAGAAAGGTAGATTTAGGCTTAAAAAACTTACCTCTAGTATTTAGAAGCTCTTAAACACTTCAAATATTCAAATATTTCGAATCCTAGTAGATCTATTTCGTTACCCCCTCGTTTCTATTTTGTTTCTCCCTTCTTCTGCATCATTTTTGCATTCTTATTTTTATAGAAAAGTGGCCATGAGCCGAGGCAGATGCACCATGCACCGTGGCTCATGATACAGAGAGGCCCGTCTTGGCTATTTCACTCAATGCACCATAGTGGATGAACTATATTCTGTAAGGGGTGGCACAAAACTTCCTCTTTCAAGTTTTCTTTCTCTTTCATATTTAGGTGACTCAACTTCACTTCAGACCTGTATTTAGGGCTAAAATTACAATCAAGCATGCCCATTAGACCTTTGTGGCTACACACCTCACTTAATGAACTCAATTACTCTAATCATACTTAGTTAATCAGGTTTAAAATTTTGAAGATGTTACAGCTTCCATGCTCTATTCTCTTCTCCTCCTATGCTTTTTTCTTAAGTTTTCTAGGATGGGAAGCTCGGGTTTGAATTTATGACTAAGTTCTAGCCACTCTTATGACTTTAGTTGAGTGTGAGAAGGATTTTATTCACTTTTAATTTTGGATTTTAGTTGTTTGCAATGTTTAATCCCATTGATGAAGGGTTTAGAGTTAATCACAATGTTAGATAATTAAGTTTGAGCTAATAAGTTTAGCTAACAGTGTTTATTCACATAGGTTGAATAAGTTAGTGGGAGTGAAAAATGTGGTTGATTTTAGTTAATCACACTTTGATGAGGATATTAAGCCTTAATTGTGATTAAGAGTTAACTAATGACAACTAGTCATTAATGACATGGGTGACACTATGTTGAATTTGCCCTTCGAACTTAGGGAAAATTAAAAGGAAGATTCCTATATTTCACTACTTTTCACCCTTTGATCCAAAATATTTTTCACTCCTTAGCCTCAACTTTGTTATGTAGGAGAGGTTGGAGGATCGAACCTGGGGAGGCTCTCCGCAAGGGGAATAGTCCTGCATACTACTGCGGGGAAGCCTTTGTCTCCTGATGCTCACCGTAAGGGGTGGGGTCGCCCTATTGTGGGGCCTGGGGGGAGAGTGTCCAGCGCCGCAAAAGACCTCGGGGAAGCGGGGTGAGCGGAGGGCTGTTACATTTATCCCCTAAGTTATACTCTCTTGAAGTTAGCAATGATATTACCAATTGCCACACTAATAGTAGAAAAAATCCTTCTTGTTATGAAGTTTATGAAAAATCAATTCCAAAATCGTATGAAGTGTTCATTGATGAATAATTATTTAGTGACTTATACTG